TGTGTGTGTGTGTGTGTGTGTGTGTGTGTGTGTGTGTATGTGTGTTTGAGCATATGTGTGTATTTGAACATGGATCTTTGTATGTATGTGCATATGTGTAAATATATAATGTGTATGATATGTGTGGGGAATAGATTTGACAAAACTTTGTGTGTGTATCTGCTTGACTACTTGTGTGTGTTTGTCTTCTACATATATGTCTTCAGGTGGGAAAGGGAGGAGGTTAATGAATGAAACTATGAGTGTATGTGTGAGTGTGATCCGCACATTTTGTTTGTAATGTGTATTGATTAGTTAAATCTCTGTTCTGGATTGTTGGGGAAAGGGGTAGGGGGGGGGGGATGAGGGTTTGCTTTGTTCAGAGAGTCTGTTTAATAAGTTTGCGAGTAGTTTGGAAACTGCTCCTATTTTAATCTCCACTGTTACTTTTATTGTTTTCCTCTCCTGGAGAAATGCTGGTAAATTCAGCTGACTTACAGACAGCTACTGTGACCTTATTGACTTTCAAACAACTCGATATGTACCAATCAGTGAGTTGTATTGTGTTTTTGTTACTAAATATGAACAACAAAAAAAGTAAGGGAAAGGTAAGTAAACTATGTTTATAATTGTTTTTTTGTTTTTTGTTTTTTTTAGATTATGCATGGACAGTATCCAGTGACTTTGATTAGAGTTCGAAACCCACATGGAGATCACAAGGAATGGAAAGGCAGATGGAGTGAATGGTGAGACGTGTCTACTTTTTGCAGGGATCAAAGTGATACCTCACTTTGTATTCTACCACTGACTATCATTCAAATCCTCAGAAATGTGGAGCAGTAAGACAAATTTAAGAAAATGAAGTAGATAAGGCTAACAATGAGAGTTTCCCCCAATTTACTTAAAAGGTGGTGTTATCTTTTTAGAAATAGTACGAAAACATAGACAGCTGGTGCCTCAAGAAGTAAACCTTAAATAGTTCAGGGTGGGCAAAGCGAAAAAAGTGATAACTTTTATATACTTTTTTAATTGTTTGTTTTGCTTGATTTTGTCCAGGTCACAAGAGTGGCAGCAGATCTCTCCCAGTGACAGAGAAAAACTTGGGTTGATCAAGAGAGATGATGGAGAGTTCTGGTAAGTCTTTCATTTCTGTATCTGTTTTTATCTCTCAGATGGTGGGTTTGGGGTGGGGATGTAAATAATTTGCTCTCCCACCAAGTGTCTTTGACACTTACAGTACTGTCGGCGACTATAGTCACCAGGACGTAGTATGCTCTTACTACCGCTGGCGACTTAAGTCGTCGATGCGACCAGGCACTCTAAACATAATTAAACAACGAACGGACCCACTGAACTGAAGTAAATACCAAAGGAAGTCACTCTATATAATAGCTGAATGGTTGATGAACCTCTATGAATTTTTAAAGTATGTTTCTTGGGCTGCCAAGGTTTTTTTAAGTAAAAAAAATTCTACCACGGCTTCAGCTATACTTGAGGGTTTTTCACTATATGAGCCTTCAGTACTATAAGTATTAATGGGGGGTTTGATCTAGCAGCCTGATTAATGTGTAGTAGGGCTTTTAATCTATTTGACAATTGATAGACACAAATGTACTGAGGGAGGGTAGAGTAGGGACTCATTGAGCAGACTCAGTGTGCCCAAACAGCTAGTGCAGCCCCTTTAATGATGATAATGAAATAAAATTTATGAACACCTAAGTCGTCTTTTGCAAGGGTAATATTTTCTCTGATATTTGTGGTCTTTACCTTCTTTTCATTCTTCTTTTTTCTCTGACCGCCATGTCAAATTTTTCAGCCCTTAACAAATGAACCATTTATAATGTGCTATTTTGTGTTAATTTTATTTTAAAAGAAACACTCAGCAAACAGCTCCAATATATTCTGGGCCCAGAATCTTGAACATTGCCCGAAAAGCACAGTATTTTGTCATGTGGAGGAAAAAGGATTTAAGGGACTTCTGTGGTGTAACGGTTTAGCTCCTCGCCATAGCATGCAGAAGGCGTGAGTTGAGATTTTCATGAGAAGAAAATTGATATCAAGTATCTCAGCTTTTATGTTTGGAAATTGTATTCCTTGAAGCCTGGGTTGGCCCTGACAAGCATGTTCAAAGAAGTTGCCTGCTCAGTAATCTAAATTGTGTTGATGGGAACGTGAAATGTACAGCTTCATTTTTTAAAAAGATTTTGAGAAGAGTTGCTAGCTGTGCTAAATAAGTGTGTACTATTTCTTTATAATTGTCGTAGTCTTTTCTAGTTTTAGATAATAATAGCTTTTCTAGAAATTGGTATGCGCTTCAGCTTTGTAACTGTTGCTAGTCTCATCTTTTGTAGTTTTTGATGTGGAGGTCAGATATGAAAGGGAGAGACAAGTTTAGAGACCATAAATAATGTTGCTTACACTATACTTAGATATTGCTGAACGTTTTTTACATTAACTCTTTTCTTTGTGTTGTAGGATGGACTTTGAGGACTTTAAAGACAACTTTGACAATGTGGTAATTTGTAACCTGACACCGGACTCACCTGTAGATTTTGAGAGGAAATGGCACACTGTGGAGCATCACGGACAATGGACAAAGCATTTCAATGCTGGAGGGCGACCTTCTTGTCCAGGTAAAACTACAGAACTATGTATTTATACAGCAATAACAAAAGGCAACTCAAGACCACTATATCTTATTTTGGTGGGGTAAAATTAATGCACTGCTAGTACTTATATAGCCTATATAAGTGGTGGGTCCTAAGTTTCTGTGGGAAATGACAGTTTCTGATATTTTGAATTTAACTGATAAAGAAGCACAGGTATGTTTGCTTCCTGTCTGGTGCCAATAGATGTCTGTACTCTAAAGGAAGCATGATAATATTTTCATCTTTGTCACACTTTTTTTAGAAAAGGACTGAGGACTTAAGAATTTGGAAAATATAAGTAGGATTGAGATGAGAGAAAAGAAGATATACCCTTTCACAGTCTCTGAATAATACCATAATTTGTGCAATATAAAACTGGTTTTGGAAAAATAAAGTGTATAGATAGCAATTGTCACCTTTTCTTTCTTTTTCCGGTAGCACACTGGTCCAACCCCCAATACTTCCTGAAGCTTGAGGACACAGATGAAGATGACGACAATGTGTGCAGTGCTATTATTCAACTTATGCAGAAGGATCGGAGGAAAATCAAACAGAAGGGAGAGAAGTTTTTGTACATTGGCTTCAATGTGTACCAGGTAACTTCACTGAATAACACTGTATTATTTTAATTCCTGAAAATCTAAAATTGCCGTCTTATTGCACTTTAGGTTAAAATAGTCTTGATACGAAATGTTCTAGACAATATTATTTTTACGTTTTGAGTCCTTGCTTGCGCATTTCCATAGGGCTGGAGATATTTTTTATAACCAGTTGGCACCTCTAGCCTATATTCCGTTCAACTGAAGTGAAAATTGTTTGATGTTCAGGAACCTGTCGTTTGATTTGCAAGTGCTCTCTCTCTCTGTGTTTCTTTACTTCTTCCTGTGAAGCACATCTATTATTCTAAAATTACTCCCATTTCCTCTGTTTCAGTATGAAAGAGGTTATTCTGTTCCACTGAGGAGAGAGTTCTTTGAAACTCATCGGGCCATCGCTACCTCTGGGTCATACATCAACATAAGACAGATCACCAAACGCCTCACCTTGGAGCCTGGAGAATATGTTGTTGTGCCGAGTACTTGGGATGCAGATGAAGAGGCTGGCTTTTACCTGAGATTCTTCTTTGAGAAAGGAAATGTTGCGGAGTAAGTCGTGTGGAATCTCTTGTGTGTGCTGATAGTGATTGGTGGGCCTTGTATTACATTCCTACCTTTCTTCAGTCCTTCCTTTATAGCCTCCTTCAACTCGAAAGCATCCACTACCATGGTCTACTTTAACCCCCCCCCTGTCTTGTTGGCCTGGTGTGAAGATTAGTGTGAATGGAACCAAATTTGGGAGTTATGTTTCAAATAAAGTTTGAGCTGCCAAACCATTTTCTGTCTTGGGCGGGTGAAAAGCCTCCGAAGGGAAACATTTCGTTTCCAGGAATAACAGGTTCTGTTTTATAGAGGTAATTATAGAGGAATTTATCAAGGAGGACCAGGGACATTTTTTTTGGCTCACATTTCTGTGTTGATTTTACTGAAAAATGTTTATTGGAGGCACGAAAATGTACATTTGCAGTTTTCAAGGACTTTCAATCTTTAGAAGTCACCAAACTTTGGCTGCCATTTCCTCACTAATTTTACCTCTGAAACCAAGCCACCATCTGCTCCTTCATTCGCAAATATTTCGACTTCTATTCAAGATGAAAGGGCATTTTTTTCATCGAAAGCAAGACAAATAAACAAGCTTTTAGATAACACCAATAATTCCACTTGCCCAAAAATTTACGAGAGCCTGATTCCACAAGTTTGTGACACAATTCTGTATTTACCTCATTGGTTATAGATATAATATGTACTCTAATTTTAGGAGGGGTTGAGAAAAATAAGACAAATATCCAGTGTTTATAAAAGTCACATGAAATTCAGTATGTTTTACCATTCTTCAAATAGGTGTGAATAGCAGAAGAATATTAATGTTGAATATTCAAGTCATATGGGCACAGCTCATGTATGGACTGCTTTTTTTTTTTTTGGTAAGTGTTTTACAGCTCTCGCTACTGCATAAGGTCATATGAGCATGCGGGACACGTTAAATATTTTCAGTTGGTACGAAATTTTGGATTTTGCGCGGGTGGCGGCCAAAGCCTACTCTTATCGATTTTAGACCACCAAGGGATATTTAATGTGCGCAACGTGCACACGGGACCTCCAAGATTCTTCGCCCCTGTCCAAGAAGGTATGGATCTTTCCTACCAGAAGATCAGGGGTGTGGCTGAAAGACAGCAATAAGGAGCCAAAGAGTAGCAGTAGAAAGGCTGCAGAAAGAGTCAGGAGCCCAGAGGAAGGGGCAAAGGAGGTGAGGGGGTGAGGGCAAACAGTGGAGACGAAAGCAGACGACAGAACATTGCTAGAGAGCAGAAAGAGGTGAAAGGAGACAATTTTAGGGAAGAAAATTTTTCTGTCACTACCCGGATTCTAACCCGGGACCTTTGAATGAGAGGCTCACACCTTCACCTCTAGGCCACGATAGTCCCCAGTATGGTCTACTCTTGCTATTCTTCCGTTTAATATTTCTAAACCTGCTTGTAATAAAGCATGGTTAAAAATAGTAGCATTGTTAATCTGAATTCCTAAAAAATCATGATATTGAAGATATGAGATGGCGCTCATATGAGCTTATGTGGTTGCGAGCGCCGTAAAACCTCTACTAAAACTAAAAAGAAGATATGAGTGCAGCTTTTTAAATTTCTTTTGCGATTTTAGAAGAATATTCAGTTTTTGTTTTTTAGTTATCATGGAACAAAGACTAAGATTTCAAAGCTATTTGCATAATTTCATCACTTTTGATATGTCTAACAGGTATTTCGATGAGAAACCAGAGGTACCAGACATTCCTGCACCAACACCGTCTCCAGAATGGAAAGAGCAAGAGGAAACCTTCAAGAACTTTTTTTACAGAGTTTCTGGAGAGGTAAGCAACTTGAGCTTTCATAGCAACAAAATGCAGCTGATAAAAACCTGTAAATTCTTTGCCATATTGACAGGCTGAAGGGCTCCAACCCAGATGGCCGCTGGAGCTGTAAAGTAGAAATAAATAAAGCTTTATTAGTAGCTGTGCTGTCCGTATTCTGTATGTGAGTGGAATGATTTACTCATGGTGAGGTTATGAGGTTTATATTTGTTTTCTTAAATGGGATGCATTATAAGTGAACTTTTTTCACCTGTTGTATCGTATGAGCTAATTGGTTTTACTTTGGTTTTGTTTTGATTGATCTGAGAAGTATAGAATATATTGTTGTTTATATTAACCTTTCAGTTGAGCAGAAAAAAATCAGCAACATTTTCTTCAACTTATGACTTGTGCAGAGGGATCTGATAAGCTACCATTTATAAAATGAAAATGTTTGTTTCTTCGTAGTTATAACTTGAGTCCACTTCTGTTTGAAATAAGGTATTATTTGAAACTGTTTCAGGACATGGTAGTGGATGCTTTCGAGTTGAAGGAGGCTATAAAGGAAGGACTGAAGAAAGGTAGGAATGTAATACAACTTGGCCTTTCCATCCAAGACTAGCCTTGCCTCTACCATCTAGACTGATATTTGTGTTGTTTTGCGCTTGTGATGCTTAGATTTATTTCATCCATCAGCATTAATTATTCTGAACCATTATTTGATTTTGTTTCTTACAGTGTTCATTGTGGAACTTGCATGGTAACCGTCAAGTACTATTCTATTTTTCAGAATTTCTACCAAAAGTGCTTTCAGCTGATTGAAGCCTTTACTTTTAGTCTAATTAGTTCTGTATGAAATGTTGTCTGTGAGGTTTAATTTCTTTTCTTTTTACCCCTCAGAGCCCTTGCATCGCGATGTCAGTATTGATGCCTGCAAAAGTTTCGTCAGTTTGATGGATGTATCCTTTGTTCACTCTTGAAAATATCTATTTGTTTAAAGTAGTCACTACAATTGCCAAGATTTTATGACATCACTGGCACTGGGATTGTATAGACCGAAGAAAATTTGGTGGTCAGGAGATTTCAGTTATGCAGACTCTACTGTATTTAAAAAATCACTTTACTCTCCTAATGTATTACTAGGCATGAGATAATAATAATTATTGTCTGTGAAAATAATATTTCATCATGGACTTTCTTTCATTTCTTTGGTAAAAAATTTTTTAAAAATGTAACAATGTATTTCAATCAGAAACTTCTTTGTTTATTTGAAGACTGACGGACAGAAAGAAGTTTTTCTTAACTCATTTAAAGGTTGATGGCAGTGGTAAACTGTCTTTCTATGAGTTTCAGTTCTTGTGGCATCACTTACGCAGTTGGAAGGTATGCTGTTTCCTTGTGATTTGGAGTATTATGGTCACTGGGGTAGATGTTTTACACTCCAATCTGAAAAAATTAGATCATTTAGGAGGCAGGCTGCTTCGGCCCAGCCTATCAGAGCCAATCTGGCAGAACTTATGTATTCTATTACCAATGGCAAAACACCAAACCCACAGACAATGGAAAGTGCCATTTAGAGGCTTCAGGAATTTTAAAACAAAACGAATGTGATAAATTGTAATAAAAAGTGATAAGACATTTAGAGTGTGCGGTGTGACTTTGCAGTCTTTAAGAATAATTATTCACAGAACTTGAACTAGAAATTAAATTGCAGTTGCACACATACTTGGGCACACACACACATGCACGCACACACACACACACACATACACGCACACACACACACGCATGCACACACACACACACGCACACACACACACACACACACACACACACACACACACACACATGCATAACAGACATGAACACACATTCATGCATATACATGCACACACACACACACACACACACACACATACACACACACGTACACACACACACACACACACACACACACACACACACACACACATACACAAACACACACACGTACTCTCAAACAAATATACAGACACATTCACTCTCAAATTTATATATAAACCATATATCTTAATTAAGCTTATGGAGCTGCAGCTTAATGAATTACACATTTCTATTTCCCCCTATCCACAGAAAACATTCTACCAGTTTGACATCAATCAGTCAGGGTTTTTGAATTCGAGAGAGCTGAGAGCGGCAATAAATGGTGTTGGTGAGTACCTTTACTTTGTTTTGACTTTTGGGCTGCAGGTTTTTTTTTTCTATTTAATTTCTTTGACGTAAGAATGCCTCTGCTTTGTGCAAGGCTTGGGCAGTAATGTTTTGAAAGAGATAATGCAAAAAGTAAAAATGAATGTGCAAGAAATGAGTATGCTAATGTATTAAGAAAGATTGAAAACTGCCCACATTGAAAATGGCTCATCTGCTTCTGCATTCTTTTCCTAAAACAATCTGAAAAACATAGTTAAGATTTTTAAGGTGGTATCTGTTGAAGCGATCAGTCTTCAATGTGTTGAATACACTTTACTGTGGAGCAGATTTACTTATTTTATTGTGGGAATGGAGGGTCATGCTCTGAAACAAAAACTTTTCTCTAAAGGTGTTTCCGGTCTTGTAGTGCATGCATGGTGTGAATGTAGAAGTTCGCATTCACTTGCAGTGAAATAGGTTTTCAGTTCATGAATATAATATTATCTTGAATCACCTCAATTTCTGTGGCTTTTATCTTTTTTTTTGTTGTTTTGTCACATGTCCTGATTTAGGTGCCGATATTTGTAGGTTGCGTAAAAATATATCGACATGATGCAAATTGTTACATTTCAAGAAAAAAAGAAACAAGAAAAACTAAACAAGAAAAAGGGGAATTTTTAGTTGGTGATGATGAGGATGATAATGATAATGATGATCATGATGACGATGGTGATGATAATGATGATGATACTCTAATGTTGGAAATATTGTAGATGTTAACTTTAAGCGTTAAATGTATTTCTTTTTTTGTTTGGAACTTACTTTGGATCCCTGCCAGGCTGTCCTGGGGGGGCAGGACACAATCCTCATTACCAACTCCTAGCATTTGAGTAACCAGAAATTTAGTCGTCTTCTTCATCCCGAGCATTTAATAAAAGTATGTTGAAAAATCACATGGGGGCTGCTTCTAAGTGATGACATTGTTAGTGTGTTTGTTGCCCTCTGTCTATGCTATCATATTTTCAAAACAGTGAAAGGAGCGTGGTTAATAGCCTTTGTAATATTTTTCATATAGTTAATGCAGTTGCGTTCCGTAACAAAAGATTAACACCTTTAGCTAACTTGTGTGCTTACAAGTTATTGCTGTCGGCTTTTGCCACAGATCCCGAGGCACTTTTGTGATCGTCAGAGCATGTAAAATGCCACAAAAAATGTGGCTTTTATCTAAATCAGGATAACAGCACTGCAAGTCATGAAAACAAAATCGGAGTTTATTTAAAATTGATATAAAATCCTTCGGAGCATCTGCATTAATTAACCGCAATAATTTTTGGCTTAAAAGGAACAATTTTTCAGTTGCATTGGCAGATATGACAAAAATGTCAAAAGTGGGAAATTGGAGTCAATACAAGATAGCACACAGCTTGAGCTGTGCTCTGAGGTGTTGTTTAAGCCTTTTCCTTCTGTTCATTGTTTCTATTATGCTGTTTTTATTTCTGGGTGAAATATATATTAATACGTAACTCTAGAGTGATTTTGGGGAGGTGATCGAGTGCTTATGGGGAGGGAGGGAAGGTGGTTTGGTCAGTAGCTTCCATCTAATATTTCTGTGTTTTGATCTTTCTTTTTACTTATAGTTATTGACAGTTATTACATCAGTGGGAGTCTATTTACTCATCTGCATCTCTCTGTTTTTTGGTTGAAGTATGGCAATGTGCACCACAATACCACTACAAGGGAAAAAAATAACGGGAAAAGTTAACTTGGACCCCCCCCCCCCTTATTCTTGAAAGGAGTTTGTGCCTAATGTCACACTTACTCAGATATGGCCCCATGAAGAGTGGATAATTTGGATGAGTTTACTAGGGGGACCAAAGTCCCAAATAATGCATTGTAAGGTGAGTCAGTGGGGAAATTGCTATGGATGTACAGAAAGAATTGAGGTGACAAGTTAATAATTCATTCTATCATTCTACAGTGGAGTCCACTTATAACGAGTCCGGAAAAAACGAGAAGTCTGTTATAAAGACGCCACTCTGAAGCCCCGTTTTTTTCTCCTCTTTACCTTTGTAAATAAAATACTGCTATAGCGCTATCAGACGAACATGCGAGTCGGTTATAGCGGAATATTGCTGCTGTTGTGCACAGTGCATAGGCCAATTTTACATAACGTAAAACCTCGCTAGTTGAGAAACCTGTTGGTGATCTCGCGAAACAAAGAATAGGAGAGCCCATGTGCGTCAACAATGAAGGCCGGAGCAACTGAGTAGGGAGGGTGTGGCATGCGCAGACAAGCAGAACACATCGTTTGATATGCCAGTGTAAGCCTAGTTTATATTATCAAGGCCTACCATGCCTCTCAGTCACTTCTCCGATGCGGGGGTGGAGAGGTCACAGCAATGTGATGGATGGAGGAGCGAATGTGTAACGTGCGCAAGCAGACAGAATGCACCACAGGGTGCGGTGGGGTGGGGGGAAACACAGCGGGCGAGTTAGCCCAGAGCCCTTCCTTTCTGATCACCAACGTCGAGCTGTCAGTCCACATTGCTAGATCTAGCGCTAGAGAAAGAAACATGATTCGATTTTTGATCAAGTAAGACCTAGAGGTCATGTTGAAACAAAATCGTAATCAGGGGAGATAGCAAAAGGAAATAAACAGAACACCTAACTCATAGATTAGGCCTACTTTACAGTTTCCCTTGAATTTATTACTGGATCTCTTATAGTGAGAATCCTGCTATAACAGACATTTTGCTCCAGTCCCCTCCCTCTCGTTATAACAGGATTCCATTGTATAATGATCTGCGCATGATATCGCTTTGTTACTTTTTAAACTGGCATCTGTAGCATAGTTAGATTATTCAGTGTTTAGTGCTCAACATGTATCATTTTCCAGTGGATTAGGGCAAATGGTTGGGCCTTGTGCGGATATAAAAAGATGTTGTCAACACAGATGGCTGTACATTACATTTTTTTTCTAAAGCACAGTTGAGACTGTATAATATAAGCCAGGGAGAAACCTAAGATCATCAAACGATAACACCCTACTTGTGACACCTGTAAAATCATACAAATCATATGGAGAGAGATCTTTCTCATATCTTGGTCCATTTTTGTGGAACAGATTACCCATGAAACTAAGACAAATAAAAACACTTGATAGCTTCAAAAGACATCTTAAACATTTTCTGTTCCTACAGGCCTATACTTCATAAGCTTTTAACGTTATTTTTCATTATAGTTGTTCTGTTCCTGTGTCTGGATGAAAATAGTCTGTGTGTGTGTGTGTGTGTGTGTGTGTGTGTGTGTGTGTGTGTGTGTGTGTGGGTGTGTGTGCATTAATATATATTGCATGAGAAGAAAGGAAATAGTAAGAAAGGTTTTTTGAAAAATGGGTATTCCAATGTAAAGCACATTGAGCCACTTTTTAAAATAAATGTTATATATTATTATTATTATTATTATTATTTTTATTATTATTATTATTATTATTATTATTTTTATTATTATTATTAATATGGCCATCCATTCTTGAGGAGAAAAGTGACTGAATTAGACTGGTGGCAGTATTACATAGTGACGCTATAATTTTTTTTAATACGCAAGGAGGAAATGGGAAGAAGCCGTTTGCACAGGTGATTGTCTTTACAGGAGGCCATTGTTAGAGCAAGTTTGACTGTATTTCATGCTGGATCTGGAATATTTCAGGTTACAAAATGTCCAACAGGACTTTGGGAAGGCTTATCTTCCGATATGCAGATGAGAACGGCAAGATCAGTTTGGATAACTTTCTGGCTACGATGGCCCGCTTGATGAAGACTTACAGTAAGTTTATGGGAGTTTGTAATGGCGGTGGGTTACTGAAACTGACTTGGAAGACTTATTATAACAGTAAGTTTATGAGAACTTTTACCTGTGGCGGAGAAGGAATTTTTAAGTCGACTGTGGAGCATCTGAAATAGAGATAGTTATTTGACTACATTATTGCCTCGAGTCACTCGGCTATAACAATGATGCTAAAACCAACAACAACAACGATGATTATGAGTGAAATTGATTTATATATCAGAACCCATTCACTTCATCTCACTAACTATTATTAGTCTCATCACAATGATTCTCAGTCCAAAGTTTTTGTTTGACTTTTAAAAATATTTACAAACATGAATGAGCACTTGTTTAGACATTTTCTATCAAGGAGGAGGTAGATGGTCACTCTGGTGTGGTCTACTTCTTTCCAGTTTCTTGTCATTGTCACTGTTACTATCATTTTAATCTGACTCTGGTTAATTAAATTGGATTGTGTTTGTATCCATTTATTAACTACATGTCGCTTGTTATCCACAGATGTATACCATGATATCCAAAAGGATGGCGAAGCTACCCTTGATCTTGCACAAGTATGTTTTTCTAACTTGCATTCCTCTTCTATATCCTTCTCATTTAGTGAAGCTTACTGTTTTATGATAACAATAATGATGAAAATATAGTCGTAATTATTAATGAAATAATGAAAGTAATAAATGATAATGATATCTGTGAATGTAATAATAATGGATTATGGATTGCTTTTATGTACCACATTTTGGCCTTTAGAATGCTTAATGTGCTTACTATAGACTTTACCTGCACACTTAGTCTTCTGTTGCAAATGCGTATATGAACATGAAAACATTTCACAATCACCCCCCCCCCCCCCCCTACACACACACACACACACACCCTTCCCCTCCCACAAACACACTCTTTTCTCTTTACAGTTTCCTCCCTTCCCTCACTGTCTTCCAATCTCGTTCTTAATAACTCTGTCTCACTTGCCTTTTCACCCACTCTCAAATGTTTATATCTGAATGTTTTTCAGTGGCTGGACAATACATTGGTGTTCTGAACGAGACGGTTGTGAACAGAGATGACCAGAGCATGGTAGCAGAACAGAGGACTATATCTCTGCAACAATTTCAGATTCTCAGGAAGTGCCTGTGCACATTGTAGCACTAGTTCAAAGTGTCAATTTTCAGTTTTTCACTTTTTGGACATAGTAAGGTTTCCAGAAGCCTTTAACATTCTACTGGTTTTTTTCTTATGGTAGTTTCGTTGTAACATCGGGATGGCTACCGCACTTGTAACCATGAAATGACTTGTTTGGGCTCCGACACTCAACTCAGTCCAACCTTGTGTTCTAGGGAAAGGCGCTTTGCATGAATTTTTGCTTTCGACTCCGTCCTATCGGAGATGGATGTTAAATTCGGAAGTCATGCCTCTTAATTAAATAACCTTACAGTGTTGCAAGGGGCATTAATTCTATATATATCATTTCGCATTTTGTAGGTTCATTGTGTGGATTTGAGGCCACCACTTCTTTGTTGGCTGAATTATTTTACCTCATTCAAGACTCAATACTTTTGGTAATATCTCTAGAAATGGCAGGTTCCTTAGCCTGTTTCTGGTAGATGTGCCTGTATAGGGTCTCTGAAATCTTGCTCAATCTGCTTGGTGTGGATGAGACTTAACTGGCTTCGTTGACATGCAGGTTATTTTGTAATCGAAAGTTGTTTTCAAACTTGTAAACAAATCAAACTTAGAAATATGGTATGGGAATATTATGTCTGAATAAAAAATGAGCAGTCAGGATGCTTGTATCTCATTTTCAGGACAGCACTTATTTTTTCACTGACTTGTATAGCAGCCTTTGGTTTGAACAGCTGTTTATAAGTATTTATACATTTTAAAGAATCATTTGGCTGCCAAGGATGAACTTTTAGTTTACTAGTGATATTGAACATATAGCACCATGGACTTGAATCCAAGGATAAAGTAAATGTGATGCAAAAGAATGAAGGTTAAATTAGTATTATACTGTGATTTGGTCAATGTTTATCTAGAAATTTACAATGATCTAAAAATATTTACTTTCATAGTCGTATGAAAATTTGTCTCATGTATTCTCATATTCTTCTGTTACTTTCCACACCCCTTTGGATGTCAGTATTAGATAATAATCTTAAGTTGATTTGTGTTCAGTTTATTGTTTATTAAACAAGCCATACCATTCTTTACAGTTTCTACAACTCTTATGTGGACTGTGTGCGAATTTGACTTGCATGATCTGCAAGATTGGATGGGGTAGGGAAATGAGGCTTGCTGACTTTACTCGACGAAAGGACATTAAATTTTACGTGAATAGAATGTACTTCAGTAGTACATGATGTGTGCGCTGTGAAAATGGTTCTGGTAATTATGGACCTCTGAGCAGTGGCCTTGATCTAAGTGAGAACCATGAAAAGTTTAATTTCTTAACCTTTCTTTATTGAAAGAAACAACATAAGTGCTTCGATCAGAGTTCCTGGTATTTTTGTTATTGAGACCGAAATGAGAACCCTCAGGTTTTTAAACAAAAATTTAGTTAGCCTGTAACTCATTTCTGCCTTTATTGGATGTACTTACTTGGAGAACTTGATCTGATGGACAAAGGGAAAAGACCATGATAAATTTACATTTTTTAAAAAGAGCATCGATCTGAGCAGAGAAAGGAGTGGTGAACCATGATTGCCAATGTCTGTTTCAGTTCTGGCTCTTAAGAAAGATACTGGATTGTTTTGTACCCAGAAAACATCACATGGTTGTTCTTGAACAATTGAATCTTGTTGTCGCAAACTGACTTATCCCTAGGGAAATTGGATGGAGTAGGAGTGGACATTGTGAAGATCCTGCTAAAATCTGGAAGTGTCAAAATAGTGCACAGCCCACTGAAAGTCGAAGTCTTTGCCATAATTAGCTTCTTTCCATGCTTACAGAATTTGATAATCACTTTCCAAATGTAACGACTTGTGTGTTGTTACATTGTTGCCATTCACTGTTTATATAGTGGGTTTTTAAAAATCTTATTTTTGTCTGAATGCCATATGAATGTGATAATGTTGATTTGTACTGATATATTCCTTGGAGTTTTTTTGCTTTTGGAATAATATTCAATACGATGTATTACAGATAATGTTGTTATATATGAATATATAAATTTACTTACCAGATCATTTTAAAGCATTTTCAAAATGCTCTGCTTACAACCTATTTAGAATGGTTTAATCCCTTATTTAACTTTCAGTTTTGAGCAGGATTTTTGTCTGTTTTCAATTTAGTCAAACAAAATCTAATCAACTCTTTTGAAGATCAGCTGTCTCATTGTCTCATATTTTCTGTAAGAATTAACAGTTCCTTGCAGAAAGTACTCTAAACATTAATTGTATTGAGAATAACCAATCTACTTTTTGTCAATAACACTGTTAAAGATGATGAACATTGTGTGGAGGGTGCAGATCTCCAGAAAAAAACAACAATAAGTGTGCAGTGTCTGTAAGCTGTACTGCAACTTGTTGTTTTAAACATTGATCTCAGCTGTTGATGCACCCTTCAGCTCCAGCATCTAAGTCCATTTTAAAAGTTCACTGAGTGCCACATATTCCACTGCCGCAATACAACACTGATTATATATAAAGTGTAATCAACCGTAAAATATTAAAAATACCTGCATAATCTCTCTGTTAGTGTGAAGACATACATTCTAAAACTAGTTTTATATAACTCATAAGAGCAATTTTTTTTTTGGAGGGGTGGAATCCTCTTGGAATGAAATTAGTTTGTGATAATAATATGTTCTTGTTTGTGGATTTTTAAAAAATGTACACCTAAATCGTAATTATCATATGACTTTTTTTTTTTTTTTTTACAGATTCTAATACTACGGATGGGTCAATCACTCGACTCAGTCTCCTCAAAAATGAATGTATTTGTTTTCAGTTTCAGACGACCGAGTCGAGCGTTCGGCCTGATCCAGCAGTAGTGGTATAACATTTCATACTTTTCTTTGTTTTATGTATACGATAAATTGTTAAAATGTGCAGATATGTTTTAAAACACCTCTTTTTGAACCGTGACAGCAGGCAATGTTTTGTCCTTCCTTACTCTTGACTTTAGCCTTTCAATTGTTTATTTTTTGAAAGTGTACCCAGAATGAACAGTATTGAGTTGTTTAAGATTAACATTTGATAGCAGATGAGATACTAGGTAGTCCTGTAATGTAGGTAGAATCTCAAATGTTTTTCTATCCTCTAAAAGATGAGCCATTGTAATGCTGAGGTGTGAAAAAATATTTTCAGAAATTTTTTGTATGGCTTCATGATGAAATCAGGCGCTAGTTAAAATTTATGAAATTGAAGAAATGGACTTTTTTCTGCTCCCCGGGCAATAATTATGCATTTTTTAGGGGGGCTCAATGGTAGGTCACACCATTTATGTCCTTTTGAAAATGCCTTTCGGTTCTGATTTTTACTTAAAAAAGGTTGATCAAAGACCCAAAAACTCTAAATTTACAGTTTCTAAGGACATTATTCAGGCTTTTGAAGTCCTCAAACTTTGGGGGCCATTATCTTGGTTAATTTTATCTCTGATACCAGGCGACCTCCACCTCTTTTAATCGCAAATATTTTGACTTCTGTTCAAAGTATTTGGGTATGTTTTTTTAAATCAAAAGCAAGACAGACTCTGAGCGACTCTGGGCTTTAAGTTGATATCAATAAAAATCCATAGGCCCTATATGTCCAAAAACTGACATGTACCTGATTCCACAGTGACGAGACACATTTCTTACCCAGATAGAAAATGTTTTGATGAAAGTTCTACGCAAGGCATGAATTGTCAAAATAGAAGTTCTAATGAGCCAATGTATGTTGAATTGTTTTGCGTGTTTTTGTATCAGTATCAATTCATTTGAGTGGTTGTGTCCATTTACTCTTTTGTTTTTAAGTTCTTGGCCTGCATCTTTTCTTTGTCAGTTGCAATTCTTTTTCCGTTCAGATTTACAGTCTGTCCCATACTTATATATTTCTTATTTAAAGTGTTTGTTGATTGAAAAGCATTGATGTGTCGACATTCCAATTTGAGGATATAATGTCTTGTTACTTTAAGCCGACTATATGATGCACATATTCTGCTTTTCTGTGTTTGGTAACTCTACTGAAATTGATTCTAATCACTTACATTTTGTACAATTTTGTCTTTGTGCTTTAAGCCTTTTTTATGGTGCATTCCGGACCCCTTCTCTTTCACTTCTATTGTATGTTCCCAGTTTTTTTTGTCCATTTCATGTAATTTTTTTTACTATGATACGTACAGGCTACCAGAGTTAAATTTATTTTGATTCTCTTGCACAGAGTGGTCGCTTATTGTTAGTGCAATTTTTAAATTAACTATAATCTGCTCTTCCGTGGCTCCCAAGAATGGTGGTGCTCACAAAATAAGTTGTTTCTGGAAATCAGTTGTTGATAAAAAATCTGCATTATTTTTCCTCATATATTTGCTTTTCATGGGACTAAAATTGATGGCTTATACAGTGACAAGCATGGTGATTTTGCTTAGTCTTTGGTGTAAATAGCACCTGAATGACGATAGCTATAAAAAGCTAAAATTAATGGTTTGATTGCTTTTCTTTGTGTAAATTCTGTCAGAGGTATTCGGGGCCAATCAAAATGCCTAATCAAAAGAGGAACTTAAGATTTAGTTTTGTGAAGACAATGGAAACTCTTCATAATGTGCATGTAAATATTTTGTTGAGAATGAGAAACCTTTTTACAATTTATGAATTTTGCCAATGATGATAGGACACATATTTGTGTACTGTATTATTTTCAGTGATATTTTTATTCAGTGCTAGCGCTGATCAATAAAAGAAAATTGCTCATGACTGCCCCTTTGTGGCTTCGTTCCATGTGAAAACATATTGATACATGTGAAATATAGTTTGCTCATGATGCCCATTCATCAGCTGAAAATCGTAAATGAAATTTATGCATGTATATGTATATTTCAAGAAAGGTTTTTTTCTTTCAATGTTAAACTTGTATATAAAAAAGCATATCTGTTCCATTTGAAAGCAAGACAGTGGTTGTGAACTGTACAAGCTAATCAGGAGGACCTTATTTATTGTGCTTTGGATTTTTTTTTTTTTTCTTTTTGTTAATGTTTCATTTAATGTTATTTGTGGGTTTCATTGAAATGTGTTGTTTTCTTACTCTTGTAGTCTTCAGTTTTGTAATTAAATCAATTGAAAAAAGTAGGCCTACTGATCTTTTTCGTTTTATTTATGTAAAATGAGTAGCCTACTCTGAATTGATATGTGTACAAGCGTCTGTCTAGTGAATGGGGTCTGTTACAGGGAGGTGTGTCCAAAGCGTAATCGAGTAAAAAAATGAGGCCGGAAGGTTTTCGTGGACCCAGTTTGGGCATGATGTGAAGTTTATTGTTAATTTGTATCTTCCAATGTGTCTCCCACAGAGTGGAGGTGTTTTTAAAATGTAATTTGTAAAGTCAGTCTGAGGGGGAGTGTTTGTCGTTTAGCTCAACAGAGGGGACAAGAATTCCTTCGCCAGGAGATCCACCTGCTCGTTTTCTCGGATGCCTACATGGATAGGTAGCCATGCGAACACGATATTTTCCCCCGGTTTCAGTCAAAGCGGGTATTTTTTTAGTTGCAACCTATTTTTTGGGAGTAAGGCGGACCCTCCATAGACGGCACACAACACACAGCACATGGCACGCGTGGGAAATAAAATTAAACACAACCATTTAGAGTTGAACACTCCATTGACGGCACGACACAACCACGGCGAAACGTTGCGTGCCTTGCTTTGCTGCATTGCTCGTTTTTTGTGTCGTGTGCTGCCAAAATGGATGACTACAAGAAAGAAATTATTGAACTTGTGAGAGACCGACCGCTTCTTTGGGACCCCCAAAACCCGGTTGATTCCCGATAATTACAACCCATTGGTTGTAGACGAGGAAGCACTAGGTTCTTCAGTTCATCATACGTTCTGTATGACATTATTAGGTAGTTGAAGAACAATGTCACATCTCTATGTCTCATCAAGGAGCTGAAAGTTCGATGAAACTCTCCTCTACTACTCCTCAATAGAAAATGTTCTCTGCACCACATGATCCGCTTTTTCCTCTTCTTTTTCCGATTATTTAGAATTGTTAACATGATCAGTATCTTCAGACGAATCCATGGTTGTGATGTGTTGTGTTCTGATGTCGTGCTATGGCCTATGGAGTGAGGGGTATTAGCCTGTGGCACGGCACGTGCCGACAAGTCATGTGCCGCGTGCCGTCTATGGAGGGTCCGCCTAAGAGTGTGTACCGTAGTTTGTAAGTGAGGTGATGCAAAACAGTCGGATAGGATAAGGAAAGATTTGCGGGGGCAATTTTCTACGGAGTCCAGTGCCATGTTAATGGCAGTGGCCTACACAGAGAAAATGGAGGCTTCGGGATGGAGTCTCCTCTGGTGTATACCGTTGTTAGAAAACGGAGGGTGGCTCCCACAGCAGAGTCCAATTTAGAGCTATCTGTGAATAATAGCTCCGCACCGGGGTATTTCTGTAAGTTTTTTTGTATTCTGCTTTAAATGTTTTGGTGTTCATGCTTGCTTTGTTGTTTGTGGTGAGCTATAAGTCTACTTTTGCCCTGGTGAAGTGTCACTGAGGTAGGTCGGGGAAAAGAAATTGTTAGACATCTTGTTTGGAAAAGTATGTTTTTGAGGTCCGCAAGGACTCTGTCTCAGGCCCCGAGGTTTTAATTTGTTTACGGTATCTCGGTTTGTTCTGAAAATGCAGTCGTGTGCTGGGTTCTCTGGTGTTGAGCTCGGTTTAATTGCGTATTGTAGTGAGAGTTGTGTGCGTCTGAGTGTTATGTGATGGTATGTTTGCCTCGGCCTGGAGGCTTTCCACTGGAGAAGTGAGGAAAGCACCAAGGGCGAGGCGGAGTCCTTGGTTTACAATAGTTTTGTACTGGGTCTAGCATTTTTAGGACGTGGGGTTTTGACGATCCATAGACTTGACAGCCGTAGTCAAGCCTAGATCGGACTATGAAAATGCATAAGTGAAGATGTTTTGAGTCCCCGCCCCACTCCGGATGAGACAATTTTTTTTCAAGCGTTAATGACTTCTGTCACCTCACACGAAGGTCTTTTATGTGTGGGATGAATGCAAGTTTGTCAAATGTAATGCCGAGGAAACGAGCCTGGTCCCGGACGGGAATCCTTTCCTCGTATAGTGTCAAATCTGGCTGCAGTATACGTCTACCCGGATCGGCAGAAGTGCACTGCCAGTCTTTGACGGGCAAACTTGACACGGTTATTATTTGCCCACTTTTCAAGTGGATTGTTGAAACGGCTGCATATCAGGAAGTCGTCAATGTATAACGAGCTGTCTATGCTATTTTGGAGGTATGAACGATGGAGTCTTATTTCAATTTCGAAGAGAAGAGGAGAAAGGTTGCTTCCATAGGGAACACCTTCCTCCTGTTGGTGGGGACCTGAAAGGGAGGATCCGACACGAACCAATTTCTTTAAGAAAATTACCAATGGAGGCAGGGAGGTGACCGCGTAGGCCGAGAGCGTGCAGATCTCTAAGAAGCCGTACTTCCAGGTTGTGACGAAGGCTTTTTCTAGGTAAAAAAGATAGCAACCATGGGGCCTTTGGCGAACGTCTCGTGAATAAAGGTCCCCAGAATGACCCAGTGATCCAGAGTGGATAGGTTTTCCTCAATCCGCACTGGAGACCGCTCAGCGAGCCCGTCGTCTCCAGAAACCACATGAGTCGCCTGTGAATCTTTTCTTCTTCTATAAGTTTACATAGACAGCTCGTCAGTGCGATTAGTGTGCGATTGGATGGATGTGTGTGGTCTTTGTTAGGTTTGGGTATTGGAAGGACAATGGCGGGTCGCCAAGACTCCGGAAAGGTGTGTGACCGCCACATGTTGTATATGTCTAGCAGGAATGTAAGTGTGGGTAAGTGTCAAATGATCTGGTGTTGGGAGGTCATCCGAACACGGGCTGTACCAACAAGCTCAGGTTTTCACCTACCAGGAAGAGGAATATTGATGCGGGAATCAAACTCAGGTCGTGTGCGGGCAGCTGCAACAACCCTAAACATTCATATCAAAGATACCAGTACATACATAACAGTACAAGTCATTTAACACAACTGAAGCTAACAAATTTGGTGCTTCTTTCCATAGTTTTAATTTCAGCTAACGTCCTTGCGTTTAGCAACGCTCACAACAATCGTCTTTCATTAAACCGAATCCGATATGCTTTTATTATATAAACAAGTGTTGTAACATGAAAGACACTTCTTTGTAATAATATTCATACATTTTGTGTCCAATTCAACTGACAAACTGATATCTCGAGCGAACTATTGACTTTCACATGTAACGTTTTAACAAAGAAATCTACGAAGGGTGCGATAAACTTTGCATCACTGAAAATATCACAAAATAAACAGTACAAAAACATGTCAAATTACATAAGCAACACAGAAACTGGACAAAGTTCTCATTTTGAGCAAAATATTCACTCATGAGCAATTCCTATTGTCTTCACGACAGTAATACTGCATTGCTTTACTAGTTAAATGACATAATAAAGTTGTTTACTTGATTAGGCATTTTGATCGGCATACCTCTGTCAGAATTTGCAATAAAAACTAAACCATTATTTTCTTTTGTAGAGGTACCGGCTGTCAAAATCAAGATATAACAAGAAATGAAATGTGAAAAGGACAAAACCCAACAAGAAAAATCCCTGGAAATGCAAAACAGAAGGGGTCTGGAATACACAGCTTAAAAAAATCACTAAGACGAAGTTGTACAGATTATGAGTCAACAGATTTGATTTCAGTAGAATTAGCAAAAACCATAGCAGTGAATATGTGCAGATAGTTGCTTAAAGTAATAAGACTTAATATCAAACTGATATAACCATACATCAATTTTTTCAATTAAATACTTGTGCGTAGGACAGACAAAATCTAAATGGAAAAAAAACCCCAACAACCAAGGACTCAAAGAGCAAAAGAGAAACCAAAATTCCCTTGTGAATTGGTACCAATACAAAAACCCCTCAAACAAATTCAACCTAATTCCGCTTTGAATCTTGTTCTGTATTTGCGTAGAAATTTATCAAAAGCATTTTTTATCAATGTAAGAGATAATCCGAATACTAATCCCATCAGCAAAAAATAGTAGAATACCCAAGACTGCCTGGCTTGTAAAAATAAAAAAAATGAACAATAGAAAGCTGAAACATTTGAATCAAGCCACAATGGGTACAGGCACTTTTTGAGAATCTGGAACAATTGCCGAGATGTGATCCTCTATTCTGCTACCAAGCTCGGGACATCTCGATTCACAACCGTCTCACTCAGAGAAACAAAGTCCTCTCAAGCCACTGAAAGATGGACATAAACATTCAAGAGTGAGGGAAAGCTGAGATACGGAAAAAGAGACAATGAGAGAATGTGTGAGAGAATGTGTGAGAAAGAAAGTGGAAGTTGGAGGGGGTAGCTTGTACTGTGTATTTCCCATTGATTAACACGTGCGCAGGTAACATTTTAGAGTTATGGAGCACACTGAGCATTCTAAAAACTAAAACAAAGCGATCCTTTGTTATTTCTCTTAGTTATAAATTCTACTGATTGATACTATCATTTTCATTCTTGTTACTTTGTCATGAATAGTTTTACGAATTAAATCGTTAAATCAGCAAATGAATAGTAGGATACAGGCGAGAAAGACAAACCTGTTCAAGACCCAGGATACTTCGGCCATAATTCTGGGTGTCTCGGAACACATCTGTAGATAACAAGTGACAGAAATGTACCGATACAGTGACAAGAAAAATTTGAACCTAACCATATCTCAGACATAGAAATAACACATTCAAACGCATTTTAAATAAAACAAATATGATGAGGCAATTCTCAGAGATGAAGTAAACAGGCCGAGGAATTGAAATCAGATTTTCAGAATCATTTCCGTTGACGTGCTGTTTCAGTTTCTGAGCTACTCTAGGAAAGAATGAAATGATTTTATGTGCTTCTGTAACAACCAACCCCCCCCCCCCCAGTATAGTTGCCCATAAACTTACTGTAAATCTAAGTCAGTTTCAGTAACCCACCACCATTACAAACTCCCATGAACTTACTGTGAGTGTTCATCAAGTGGGCCATTGCAGCAAAGCAGTTATTCAAGCTGATCTTGCCGTTTTCATCCGCATATCTGAAGACAAGCCTTCCCAACGTCTCGTTGGACAGTCTGTAGCCTGAAACAAAATACAGAGTGAAATACCAGGAACGAGGCAATTTTCAGCCTTCAGCATGGACATGTTTTGCCATTTTCTATTTGCCCTCTTCCACTGGAAAATGTAGAGTGCAGAGCAACATGCAGAGTACCTATACACTGAATAAGTCCAACAATGCTACTTCTATAAAATAAAAAAACCCAACCAGATGGCAGTTTTCAAAAAGTCAGACCGATATCAATAGATTATGTAACAGATCATTAAATATGGCACTTTGACTCTCGTCCTATACTCTCGTCCTATTTCAACTTGCAGTGCATTTGAGAAAAGTACTGGCCCCCCCACCCTTCTCGAAGCTAAACCTAGTTACATAAATGGCTTCACTCTGTTGGACACCATGACGGTGTGCAAAGGATCCGATAAAAGAATAGGAAATGAGATGTTAATTTTTTTTAACAATTTGTAACGGTTTAGAGGTGTATATTGCATGGCATAACTCCAAGTTGTAATGATTAGACATGCAGCTGTTTAGATGAGCATAAATTAGTATCTTGAAGGTGAAAGCAAGATCAAAACACAGAAACAGGAAAATTAAAGTAGGACCTACTCATGGTACCCTACAACCAGAGGGTAATGTATAGCCTAGCAAGAAACAAACCCGGAAAGATGTAATACAAGGTAGCATTTTGCTTGGGACACTTACCACCCACTATGAGAAGAGAATGCAAACTATTCACATGCCTGAGATTCAGAGCTCAAAAGCATTCCCACGATGTAAAGCACTCATAAACTTTTTCAAGAGAGATCATTTCAATGGTACAATCTCAAACGTTTCCTCGTCTTCACGTAGTAAATAATGTTAGTTCGAAAAGACTGGTTTTCCCAATACGTTTGTTTCTTTTAAATTCTAAATTTTTATGGGTTGGGGGGGGGGGGTGTAAAGTGATGAGTCAATTTTCAATCTTTCTAATACAGACCAACATAAGGAATGCCATGAAAAACACGGACATCCTCGGGGAATTTGCCAAATTTGCAGTTTTTTAAATCGACTTTGTACGACTCGGCGGACATTCCTCAGTTAAAATTTCTGGTGCACGTCATAAACAGACACGTATGGTCTCAAACTGCTCACTCTGGTGACAAAAAACCGCCGTTTGCTCAAAATCCAGTGGCGCATCAACATGCCACCAAGACGAAAGGTGAGAGAGACTTTCATCGTGCCAAGGCTATGGCATGGCTGCAGGATGGAGTTGGAGCCCGAGAAGTTGCCAGAAGGCTTGCAGTGTTACTCTGCCATTGTCTGCCCGAGGCAGCGCCATCATCAAGCTACTGGATCAGCCCAAGAACACCCACGTGCAGGTCGACCCAAGAAGACCACTCAGAGTGTTTGCTACTGGTCCTTAAGTTATGTTGAAGTCTACTAATGTAGTAGTAGTATAAGGTTTTACGGCGCTCGCAACTGCTAAGGTCATATGAGCGCGCGAAACACAAGTTGTTCACCTCTGCGAAAGTTCA